CATTACCAGGAACCCAGGGTAAGTTGCACCCCTGAAATATCAAACATATGTTGTAGTCGGGAAGCCTTTGTAAAACATATGCAGGGGTGTACAGCTGTCCATAATGATTGCCTATGCAAACCATTACACCTCCACCACTGTAATGATACTTTTCCTTTATGAGGGAGGAATGGTAGGCTGTTCCAGGCTTTTTTTAGGTACAGGTATGTCGAAAATAGGTGTCTAGCCTTTCAGCTCATCTGTAAAAAGCACAGTGCTCCACTGAAGTTTGGTCCAAGGGACATGTTGCCTTTACCATATTAAACATGTGTTCTTTGTGCTGCAGTGGCGAATGCAAACAGTGGTTTTTCTGGCATACAGCCGTATCTGAAGAAGCCTTCGAGCAACTGTAGACCGTGAAACTCTGGTTCCAGTGGCAGCATATGGCTGAACTGAGAGTTGTGAAGCTGTAACAGTCCTGTGTCCCTATGCTGAAAGTGCTAAATAATGATCCTCAATCATCATTGTGGATCTTGGTCAACCTTGTTCAGGCCTTCTTGATGTGGATCCAGTCTTCCGAAACTGTTTTCACAAATTACAGGCAACACTGGGCATTATATTGAACCCTGTAGCCACCTGAGCTTGTAGTTGCCCTGCCTGTAATCTGCCAACAATTCTCTAGCTGTTTATGTGATCCATATGTTTGTGGCTAGTTATTTTAACTGATAAAATTGAGGCAACTTTTGTAAGAAACACAAATGTCGTGAAAGTGTACAAGCACACAAATCGCAGAAAACCTCTTGTGCGCTTATAATCCCGTTTACAATCACAGATTCACAGACATGCACATGTATGCTTATGCATTTAAGTCTGAATATTTGGAGAATTATTCAACAACATAATTAGTACCTTTGGTTTAATACGGTTCGTAAAAGTAGACATAATTTACAATTTCTCTTAATTTTGCATAGAAGTGTATTTTATTTTATTATTTTTTTAACTGTTAACTAATTTCAAGCACTATCAGTTTTTGTAATAATAATCTTTTTACAAAATGAAATACAGTCAAAAGTTGTTAATCCGGACTCGTCGGGACTTCGGCGATTCCGGATTATCGATTTTTCCGGATTATAGATCATCAGTTTAAATCTCGTAAGATGGCATGCAGAAATTCTAAAATTAAAAATATGAAACCGTAATTTATGAAATAAAGAACAATTATGATCTAAGGATATCAAAATTTACAAAAAAAAAAAAGCTTAATATTTATTTGTTTACTTTATCAAACATTTCTTTCAATGTAAGTTGTTTAAGTTGCTTCGTTTTATGTGATAATACTTTCTCTTTAATTCTATAAACAGACATACTTTCTTGTTCAGTTACAAAGTTCCACTGTTGAAGTCCCGTAATTGCTGTGCCGAGAATACCGATTAACTCGTGAATCGAAATTTTTTCGTTTTCACTAACCTCTCTCTCACTTTCTTCATGTTTTTATCCAATTTTGCAGCAATTCCACTTTTTGTTTGATAGACATCGAAACATACTTTCATTTTGTAGATCCTTTGGGAGCTTCAGCATCGGAAATTCTATTTGACATAATCGAAAGTTCAAGTTTACTTTTATAAAATTGCTCTTACAGTCTGCAAAAAATAATAAGCCACATCCAATTCGAAGATTAAGGAACAACGCAATCATCAACATTAACTGAAATAGATAATTTTAGCTTATACCGTCCGTTATACATTAAACGCGCACGCGATACGTATTCTGCACTTGCGCACACGCATATGTGCAGTCGTAAAGGTCTTACGCGCATGCGCAGAAAGTTTTTAGCTGTGAGGTCCGGATTATGGGTGCCCGAATTAACGACGTTTGACTGTATAATACTTACATAAGCTTCTGTAATCATATTAATTCAAATTTTGTTCATTGACACCTCAAATTTTTTACCAGTGGAAGAAGTCTCACCTGGAATTGGTAATTGTTAAAATACGTGAGACATGTTAACCCTTTGATGCATGCGATATTATTTTTAGAATTTTTTTAACTAAAAACTCTAGAAATTGAATATTATGATCCTAGAGACAAATAATATATGAATTTTTAAAAAAATCTACTCTTGCCCATTGTTCTGTGGATGGTGGTCGCACAGTGAAACCACAGCGCATCTAGGACTTTGAAACTTACTGAGGTAGTAGGGGGGAAAACTTACTTTTCTCCGTGCGCGATTCCAATAAATGGCAAAATTTATGAATTTTAAAAAAAATTTATGTACAAATTGCATTATACATATATTTTTTTACATTATTTTACAAAGTTAATCGTCAGAAAAATAATAAAAAATAAACATTTATGTAATTTTTCTATAGCAGTGAAAATATAAGTACCTACATAATAAGGACATTTGGCTAAATAGATAAGAAAACTCAGTAAAATAAGGATAAGAAAAAGACTTTTTTTTTTCCTTTTTCAATTTCAAAGAACAAATTTTTTTGTGATGCTGTTCAAAGCATGTTTTGTCTTTTTGGTGCTTGGTGCATGCATAGACCTACATTGCATGTTTCGCACGTGTATCTTCTATGAGGTTTCTTCCTTGTGCTACAAAATGCAAACTGCCTGGGTCTAAATTTCACTAGTATATATCCAGCATTATTTAGTTTCTTTGATCTGGCACATGAAATTTGTGGTTTTTTATGTTAATGAAAATCAATAAATAATATATCATGTCTGTTATTCCTGTTTAAATTTTATGCTGAAACTAAAGGAATCAATCAAAAGATTTCATAACATGAAAAATGACAGTCAGTTTTATAAACAACGAAACTTGGTGAAAAGTTTGAAACTCTTGTTACTAAATTACTTGAAAGTACCTCTTTTTGACTACAGAACATTGCTTAAAATGTGTAAATAAATGGGATAATTTCTTGTAATTTCAAATTAAATTTTCTGACTTTGTTTTTAATTTCATTGTTATTTTTATCCATCTTCAAGTTAATGAATTTCTATTTTTATGTGGTATTTGTCAAACATACTGGTTTAAAGTATGCCTGTTTTCAGTATATTCTTTTACAGTGTGCTGCTGTTTAACTTATGTATTACTCCAAATTCTAATCATTTTTTAAAGAGCCACTCAGAGCTTATTGCATTACTGAAAAGTTTTCACTCTTTAAGTTGTGCTCAGTTTTGTTTTTTTAACAATTACATCGGTTTATTATCATAAAGCAGCATACTTTCACATTAATCAGTGCAGCATGTTAAGAATTATTTTGACTATACTGCAGTATTTGTAATGGCTTGATCAGAGAATATGAACTCTTGGTTTTCATCAGGGCTCTTATTTCAGACCTAATTTAATTCGAAGTGATTACTTATTGCTTTTGATGTATGTAGGTAGGTCAGCTATTTAGTGTGTCACATGATTGTTTGAAACTAATAATGCTTAAATTATATTTTAATGCATAAACAGTTGATTCAAAGGGTGTTTCTTAATAAGTAAAACATGATAAGCAAATTTAGTTTCATACTTCAAGTTCTTATAAAATCAAATTATGGTTTATTTATAGTCTTTTTTGTTGCCAATAAAAATTATTAGTTTTAGTGTGTTCACTTTGAGATTTTTGCTAACTTTTTTTTAACATGAATATAAGTGAAAGTCATCTCTAACACTTTTGCCACTATATTTAGATTTAATCCAAATGGCCATCTTTATCCACGAACTTGCATTCATTTAAATACATCATTTGGCTTAACTTTTTCAGGTATAGTTTCAGGTATAGTGTATTTTTTCCATGTTTTTATTTTTTTAAGTGCCAAAAAGGTTTTAATTTATTTGTTTGATTAGGATTTATATTGGCAACAAGTCATTGAGCCCAAAGAATAAATACACACACACACACGCAAAATTATGATTTGTTTACATGCTGCTGTTGAACATTAATGGCAAACAATGAATAAAAGTATTCTTTCATGCATGCTGGGCATAGTAGTTCTTTATAGTTTTTGCAAATGTAGTGATTTCATCTTGCACAGTTTTTCTCATGACATCCTGGAAGATTTTTAAGTTTTATTTTTTAGGGTAGTAACGTACAAGTCTAGTCTAATTTTAGGAATGATGCTGTGTTCACAATGCATTCAGCAACAATATAAGTAAAATAAAATATTATCAATGCTGACATTTGTGTTTTTTATTTATTTTTTAATTGTTGGGATATTTTATATAAAGAAACTAGTTCTCCAATATATTTTTTCACTTGGAATAATTTTAATTTAAAAAACTAAATGTATATATCAGTGTCCCTGAAAATGTTAAGTTCTGTTTTTAATTCCATTTCTTTATGCTTTCATAAGTCAGTGATTTCAAGATGTTTGCTTTAATGCTCATATAATTACATGATACATTTCTAAGAATTTTAATAGCTTAATGGAAATAATATATTAAGTGCTGAGGCTCATGACATACTTTCAAATGTTTGTCTCTGTTATCACTGTAATACCTCCATTTCTCTTTGCAACTTAACATTACATTTTTGCTAACAAGTGAAGTGTCTAGGTATCTCCTGTAGTTGCTAGCTAGAGCAGGTTTCCATGTTTTTATTTTTTTTTTTTCAACTGATTCATTATACTAGAAACACAGTAAAGAAAAATTTTCACTTTGATACTGATATTCACTGCATGACCTAAGTACTGTATACTTTTCAAAATAGCTATTACCAAATATATGATTTTATTTTCCCATGAAATAAATGTTTAAATTTTTTTTAAATTAATACTTCCTTAAAATTGGTTTTTTAAATATATGGTCATTTCTTTGTAGTTCATTTTGTAGCAAGTTAGCATATTTTTTAGCTTGTGTACTTAGCGGTAGCATAATTGCTTGTAGTTGGAATTATATGTAGTATAGTTACTGATAATTAAAAATATTTGTTATTTTCTCTAAAATTAATCTCTCAAATAAAATTGCTTTTAATTAATTTTATCTATAAAATGTGCTTTTAATTTTTTAAAATTATTCTTGTTTTCAGAAAATAAATCATCAGCAATTACAACATGTGATTTGCATTTTCATGTTTCAGTTCTTGTCACTGCTACAGCGAAGAAGTATCTCTGTGTTGTTTTTAATCTTCCATCTACCAGATATGTCTACTGGACCAGATAGCGATATTTAATGCAAGTTCTTTCATCAAAAATAGATATAAAATATTGTTATTATTTGATTTTTCTGTCATGTTCTTCTGTAGTTATATGCAGTTTATCATTAAAATGTGTTTGAAATTTTCTTAAAAGTTTATGATTTAATTCATTATCATGGAAGTTCATTGCACCTGCCATTGAACCAAAAACATATATACCATCCTCATGTGGTAATTGGGGTTGATGAATGAAATTATGAAATTTTCAGAAAGCAATTATTAAAATATTAATCTCTTAAAATTTCAAGAGACTCATGTAGTATAAATCTGTGCACACACACACACATATACCATAACACACACACACACACACATATATATATATGAATTTAACCAATTAAAGATAAAAATCTGCTTTATCACAGCAGTCCCATGTGGGGGAAATTTGCAGTGAGAAGAGATTTCTAAAAATGGTGATACTTGAATGTTATAAAAGGAGATTTAGAAAGCAGTTGTTTCTGACAAAATACATCATTTGTCTCAATTCATTGGAAAGGGTGGTTGAGACTGAGTTTTCTAAGTACCTGATGTTTAGTGCATCAAATAAAGGTTCTCTCTATTTCTCATACAAAAAAAGCAGTAATTATCATTTTCTCAAAGTGGAACTGTGTTTGTTTGTACTCGATGTTTGAGGAAAAATATATGATTTTGTTTTTCTTTTCTTTTGCAAATTTAGCTTTATAAGAGTTATACAACCATAGTATTAGAAGCATGTTTCTTTGAAAAGGTAACATAATTCTAATATTATGGTTGTAATTACTGAAAAATAAGTTTGTAAATTCATTTCATATTCTTTGGATGGAAAAGAGTAAAATACCTCAAATGAAACTATTATTTCTGTTCAATATTCAGGCCTCGCAGCATACAGTAGGTGTTGTCGTGACTCCACTTACGAAGTCCCTAAACCAAAGTATTGATAAACGTATTTTAGGGATAAATTAATTCAAATATTGGTAGACTGATATCATGAGTAATAAAAATTCTGAGGGGTATTATGAATCTGAAGAATGAAAAAAATTTTATAACCATGAATTTCAAATACCATAGATTAGTGTACTGAAATCTTTTAATAGCTTTGGTGCGTATGTTGCTTAATTCTTTCCTGTTAAACTTGTATACTTTGTTTTGATACTCAAAATATCTGTACTTTTTTTGCTTCATGCATGCATTTTTTGACTGATTCTGCTTTTCACTATTTGAACTAATGGAAATATTTTAGGCCTTAATGGTACTATTTAGCCGATGCACTTGGGCATAGAGTAATTGTGCTAGTGAAAAATATTTCTTGACTGGTCACCTTTATTCATGATCTATAAAAGTGTGCTTGTTGGATTCACTGTTCTCATAGCTTTGCTTTTTAATTTGCTTGTTCAGGAGTTCCATCTCTCAATTAGGATTGGGGACATTTTATTAAGTGATGCTAATGTATACAGATGCAAGAAAAAAATATAAGATTCTCTTCTGTAAATGTGCTATTTATTTTGACACTACCCTTACTGTAGACCATAATGCTATTCAAATTTCTTTTTTTTTTTTTTTTTTTTTTTGCAATATATATTCTTGAGCATAGAATTTTAAGGAAATGTTTGTATTAATCTTCATATAATGAAATATGAGGTCCAAATATGCTCCTGTGAAACTATTGATATTTCCATTCCCTAAATGTGACAATTACGAAAACAGCTTTTCTGTACTTCCGTTGCCAGGCACGGATTTGCTGAACACGATTTTGTACATGTGCTTTATCTTAATGTTTAATGCTAGACTTTCATTCGTATGCAGTTTGCTGCAGGGCGTACCATGTATGAATGGCCATGTCCTGACAACTCTGCTTGGCACTGCCTGCTAGCAGTGATACAGGCAAAGTTGTGATCATTTTGCTCATGTTAGCAGAGCCATTTATAAGCTTTTATCCTCTTTTGCATTTGCAAACCTTTTTGTTAAGTTAGAATACAGCGCCACCTATTGGATAAGTAGAGAAACTCTCACTTGGCCATCTGGATTCGGCTAAGCAACATGCCAGAGCATGTATTAGATCTGAATAGTTAATTATGTAAATAAATTAGTTTAGTTCTTTTGCTATACAGTCCACTTATTAGTTTAGAATCACAGTACATGGTCAGCAGAACCGGAGAAGTGAACAAAATGCTGGCATTAGATAGAAACAAAACTTCGTTAAAAGCGAAACTAACTAGGTTAGAAAATGTAGTGAAGGAATATGATGATAGTTCGAATAAGAATGAAATTCAAATAAAGTATAGATCGCTACAAAGCATTCAAATGGATATTAGAAACTTGAGGATTAGATATTTCGAAAGCGTTGATGAAAAAGATGTCACAGCCATCGATGAAGAAATCGGCGAAATGGAAGAAAGAACTGAAGTTCTGGAGGTAAGAATTATGGAAATTCTATCATCTATAGCACATTCTGAAAATGAAAACGATTGTAATAAATTTGATCCTAAAGTACAAATACGTTTGCCAGAATTACCAATTCCTAAGTTTTCTGGTAAATATACCGAATGGAATAATTTTAAGCTTTAATTCAAAAACATCATAGCGAATAACACGCAATTAACAGAAGTTCAGAAACTCTACTATTTAAAGGCTGCATTAACTGATGAAGCAAAAAATCTTGAAACTGTTGATGATACTTTTAGTTCTCTATTTAAAGCTCTTCAAGATAGGTATGAAAATATAAGAATATTTATTGAGACGCATATAAAGTCAATAATGGATTTAACGTACTTTAACATTCGAATCGTCTAAAGGAATAAGATATGTAATAGATAATGTTACTAAAAACGTTAGGCTTTGAATGTTTTAAAATATGAGAAAAATAATTTATCGGATGTTCTGTTATTAAATATCGTACTTCAGAAACTAGATTTCGAAACGCGCAAACAATTTGAACTAAGCATTAATGCTACGGAAGTTCCTACGTTTGATGAATTAATTTCGTTTTTAGAGAAAAGATGTCAGTTATTGGATAACATTAACCGTAGTATTAATAAAATGAAATATCAGTTAGAAAAAAGTTCGAAATCAAAGGCTCTGATGGTTAAAACCGATAGTGTTTCGATTTGTGTTATATGCATAAATGTGATTCATTTTTGAAATTAAATCCAAATCAAAGATATGAAATAGTTAAAACCCATAAATTGTGTCTAAACTGTCTCAGTAACGAGCATTTAATCACAAAATGCAATTCTAAGTTCAGATGTTCGGAATGCCATAAAAAACACCATTCATTAATACATCGCCTGCTCAGAAATGGCGCCATTCAACATAAGTTAGACAAAACAAAAACGGAAGCAACGAGTGACGAAATTATAAACAAGAACGCAGATGTCTCTAATAAAAATCAATCAAGTTGTCTTTTGACACGCAGAAAAAACGTGTTATTGGCGACTGCAATAATATATATTTGCAATTCCGAAGGAAAAAGAATCCCATCGCGCAATACTTGATAACGGCAGCATGAGTTGTTTCTTGTGTGAAGGAGTTGCTAATTTGTTAAATATAAAGAAAGAAAGAATTTATGCATCTGTATCCGGAATTAATGAGAACGTTATAAATATTAATTATCAACTAGATGTACAGATTTCGAATAAGGATTTAACATATGTAAGATCAGTTAATTGCTTGGTTATTTCTAAAATAACCAATGTAACTCCATCAAGGGGCCCACCAGCGGCCGAGCGGTAAAGTCGCTGAACACTGGTAGTTCGGTCCGAGGTTCGAATCTCGCGAACGGGCTGGCTGCATGGGCGTTTTCGTGGTTTTCCCCATGTGTAACGTGTATACGAGCCAGTTTCCCTTAGAAAGTCTTCCACGAAGGCATCCCTTCCCTTAGGCAGATAGCTCTCGAGGCTTTGCCATAATTACACACACACACACACACACACAGAGTAACTCCATCAAGGTGTTTAGATGTGCAGTCATTAAATATTCCCATTGATATTGAATTGGCGGATCCGCAATTTGGAACACCTAACAAAACAGATGTTACTAAGGGCCGAATTGTTCTTTGAGATTTTAAAAGAAGGAAAATTTCAATTAGAAAATCAACCGTTGATATTTCAAGAAACAGTTTTTGGATATATCGCGTCTGGTGCATGCAAGAGTAACTCAGAAGTAAATTATTGTGGTTTAGTTCTAAATAGTGAAGAAAGAGTTGAAGAAATTTTGCAAAGATTTTGGGAAGTTGAATCCATTGAAAATATCGAGGATGCTTTGAGTGAAGAAGAAAAATACTGTGAAGAACATTTCAAGCGTACTCACTATAGACAAAATGATGGAAGATACGTAGTTCAGTTACCCATAAGGGAAGGTTTAGAATTAGGAGAATCGAAAACGCTGGCTGAGAAAATATTGCATCAAGTGTGGAATCGACTAGAAAGTAATTCGAATATGAAAACATTATATAAGAATTTTATTAAAGAATATAAGGATCTAAATCACATGGAAGAAGTTCAAGAAATTGAAACGTCGACTTGCAATTATCTTAGTCATCATGGAGTTTATCGGCCAGAGAAAGCTTCTACCAAGCTTCGCGTTGTGTTTAATGCATCCGCGGCTACTAGCAATGGAAAGTCACTGAACTCAATATTAATGAAAGGGCGAATACCTCAAGAAGATTTATTTTCTATTATTATTAGATTTCGAAAGTACAACTATGCATTAGGAGCTGATGTTCAGAAGATGTACAGACAAATACTTATTGAACCATCTCAACGAAACCTGCAGTTGATCTTGTGGAAGGAATCAGTTGGTAGTCCTGTGCAGACTTACCGTCTAAGGACTGTAACATACGGAACAGCAAGTGCACCATTCCTTGCAACAAGGGTCCTGAAGCAGTTAGCAATGGATGAAGCGACAGACTTTCCTCATGCCTCAAGAGCCATACTGAAGGACTGTTACGTGGACGACATTATTACTGGAGCTAATACGATGCAAGAAGCCAAGGAGTTGCAGACACAGTTAACCTGTCTTCTAGAACGTGGTGGAATGCAGTTACACAAATGGTGTTCAAACAATCCAGAACTATTGAAGAATAAAGAAAAGTGCTACTCAGGATTACTCC